GCTTCTGAAAACCCTTGGACCTTCTCCTAAACTAAACTGACATGTCAAAGCTGTTGTTTTCAAACCTGCAGATGAAAACTCAAGTTATTTGCTATAACAGATCTGCAAATTTGACAAGCCCAACTTTGATTCTTGGCCACCAGACACAATAAAATAGTCACAGATATAGACAAGTGTTTTAGAAACAGTTGAGAGGGTAGAGCCAGCTGCTCTTTGGTAATGGAGTGCTCAGTAAGCAACACCTTTCCCTAGCATGGGATCTTTCCCAATACGGTTCAAGAGAAGTTTCTTCTCAAGTTCTTAAGCGTCACAGAAAATCATAAGTCTTGCCTGAAACACCTCAACCACACAGCAGAAGATAATCCTGCTGACAGTTTGGTCATGGCTGCAAAATAGTTTCACGTGGTCCACAGCCAGCACATAGCTAGATTGCACCCAACTTCAAGATAACGAGTACAACTCAACACTACACTGCTGTCTGCAGACCAGACCCAGGGTAAACCCAGCCTTATACCCAGTCAACACAAAACACATTTGAGGCTTGAGGCCCCATTGTAGTCACTGCACAGACAGTTCTCTGCTGTGCACTGGAAGAAGGCCAACCAGTCCAACTATCCCACTACTGCAGTAGAGGTGAAAACACAGCTTGATGCCATAGGACACGTTTAAAGCTCACAACACTGGTGTAATCCCTCCATACTATGAACTATTTGCCTCCACATTTATCTATGGAAAAGTTTCCAAAATATAAGGCTGCTCAGTTTTCAGATAGAAACAGACTCAGCGGTTGTTCCACTAAGCTCACACACCCTGTTAAGAAAAGTAACATGGAGGGGAATATTCTGTATTTCAGACACTTTCATACGGGGAAATGGCTTTGCTTTCTTCTGTAGCAAGATCAAAAGAGTTGAGATGACCCTCAGTTGGTAAAGCTCAACCCTATACCACCATCTTTCCCATTAGCTTCCACAGTTCCTGGCTGCTTATTCAGAGACCTCAGGAACTAGGCAAGATGCAAAGTAACGGGATCTCCCAGGCTTGCTTGGAGAGGATACAAAGGCTTCACTTATGCTAGCACAACTGAACTCTTTGCAGCTTGTTTTGTCTGTCCCAAGAGACATCTTCTACAGAGCAAATGACATCAAGATACATCCATCCCATAGCAGCAATGAGGCTCTCAGAAAATGTTGAGGGCTTTATGCACAGATGGCAACATCTGAATTCTTTGCTGTCAAGGAGAGAAGAATGGAGACTTGGGGTTTTTTTGTTTTGTTTTTAAGGGGAGGGAGCTAAGTAGCTACAAATTTATGCATCTTGCAAGTGCCAATATCCCTACTTTTCAGAGCTTCCTCCTGGTACCAACATTACATTAAGATGAGCAAAACACAAACAGTGACATTCTCAGAGCATAAACTCCAAATCCCTCCCAAAATCCACAGGTATCACTGAAGGAAGGAACAGAGCACACTGAGCAGATCAGAGAACAAAACAAATCACTGAGCCTTTTGTTACGTCCAGAGTGTGTTTAAGAGCAATCTCATCTTTGCCACTCTCCCCTGCTCTCACAGAAACAGCTTGAACTTACCAGTATGTAGGATTTCCCTTTTTTTCTCCCACTCAGGCTATCAGGTGGAAGTGACTGAAAAAAGCCTGAGAAGTAAGAGGATCTGACATGCTCATGAGCCCCTAAAACATAGCAGACACAAGGAGGTTTTCAAGCTTTCTCTACACCACTCTGTCAGAAAGGACACTGTGACAATTATTATACTTTTAAGTCACTTCTTTCCCCCAACCATTAACATCTTGGGTCTGCCACGGTCTCTAAGAGGTTTCAGAAGAAACATGTATCTCAGATGCTTGGTAGCCCTAACCTTTCCCTACACACTCTAGAAACCAAGCAAACATGTCAAGATGACCTTTTTAGACATCAGAATAAGCCTGGGTTCTCTTCAGGAGAGTTTACCAAGTGGCACACACAAATTTCAAGACTTTCATGTATCACTTTGAAGGCTGCAGAGCCAACTGGATCATCCCTTGTGCCCCAAAATAAAACCTAAACATGTTCTGCTAGAGCTGACCCTTTCACCAAAGAAAAAAGCAGGTACAGGATCAGCTCCACCAGATCCAGAGCAAACTCCAGACAATCCCAGCCTGAATGCCATTTAAATAAACCTACTTGCATTTAATTTCAAGAAAAAAAGTGTTGTCTCTCTCCCCTACCAGTTCTATTGCATTAGCCTTTGTCACGACTGAGACAGGTAACTCTCTTGCCACATCTCCAGCACAAGGCTCATCAGAAACACAAGAAAATGAGAGCCTTTAAGAGGAGAGTCAGTATACTTGGCAAGAAGTTTGAGATTTACATATTTTTAACTGCACATTCATGCATTGTAACAAACATCTGCTATGGAGGCTGAAGCACTGGACTTCAAAGACAGGAGCTGTCAGCAGCTCTTCTCCTTTATGGACCAAATACTCTCCAGAATAGTTCCTCACTACCAAGTTCTTTATTTTTAGTTTGGCAGCCATCATTTGTATTATGGCAGTCCTGAATTTTTACTTTAATTTACAATGCAGTTTATTAGCTGAAAGGATTTCCAGCTGCAGTTATTGACTAGTAGGAACTGAGCTGGTATTCATTCATCATCCCCCTACTTACAAGACACGATTGCACAAGAAAGCCAAAGCTCATCATCAATTCCCTGCTAAAATCAGGTTCTAGAGGCAGAAGAAACTCATTATATATTTTAATCTTGCTGGGCTTTTAAATTCTCCTCACGAGATGACTTAACTAACACAATTTGGAAACTTGCAACAAAACTGGAAACAGGAGGTGGCCAAGACTTCACCTACACAACAGCTCAAACATTTTGCCTGTCGTTACCCATGCAACACAGAGAAGATATTCCAGATTCGTCAGCCACTGAGCTATTCTTTGCAGCAATCTGCACTATTGAATGCACGTAGAACGGGCTATTATTCACCGAGACACTTGCCTAATGTACAAATATCACTTAGGCACCAGCATCTGAACAGAGAGAAGTGAGAAGCTTAAGAGCTCAGAATAATACTGGTGGTTCATGTGAACCACACCTGGAGGTGAAGGTAAGGTCAGATTCAACACAACAGAAAAGCTCTTTAGATGTAGGGATGTTGAGCAAAGGGTAACAAAACCTTTGCAGCAGTCTTGTTTGACCACAGCATCATCTGGGGTCTAAAGCCACATCCCACAGTTGCAAAACCAGCACGTGATTCCCCCCCTTGCTTACCGGAAATGGGAATACATGATGGAAGAAGCATATCACAGCCACAAAACCAGGTTACACCTTAAAAAAATCCATATAAATCATGACAGTTGAGTGCCCTGGGTGGGGAGGATTAGCTGTGGTTTTGCACACACACATGCAGGATGTGTTTCATCTCCAAGGGTATTTCAAGCAGAAAAACAATAGCCCCTTTTTGCAACACCTCTCCTCGCCAGATACACCCACGTGCCACGCAACAATGAAAAGCAGTTCTCAGCATGTAGACACACTGCTTTTAAAACACAACAGCACAATTAAAAACCTAATACCTGAAGGGAACAATAGGACATCTGTATGGATTAATGTGAACAGCAGGCTGGATGGCAAGTACAAGAGGGAACAAAAAGAAAACCAAAGGTGCTTTCATTGCAATTCTCAAACCTACCCTCAAATTAAGTTCTTCCAACCCTTTAAAAATACTCAGACTATCTTATATTTACTTTTAAGCAGCCTTCCTACTATCAATGCTTGAGCATGCAAAAGCCCCAAGGATAGAAATCAAGCAACAGGGCAGGATGGGGAAAAGTTAAACTCCCAAAAGGTCATTCCTGTCTCTACATCTCAAAGCTACTGACGCTTTTTGGCAGCTAAACATTAGCAAAGGGGGCACAAATGGGAACAAACATGACATGGTCTGCTATTTGCATGAGTCTTACATTCAGGTTGCAGTTTCACCAGCATAAAGCAGATAACAGACGACAAGCCGCCCTGAAACTTCCTTGGGAAAAAAAAAAAAAGTTATTTTTGGCTAGATGTGTGTACATGCTACAAAAAAAATATAAAGCAGAAGTCTCACTGAAGTGTTATCCCTACCTAAAAAAAAAAAAAAAAAAAATCTATTAAAATGATGTCACATTAATAGTTTCTATCAATTTTACCTGTATACCTGTCTTCAAACCACACAATTTGCTTTTTATTTCAGACCAACAAAAAGGCAAATAGGTCTCTAGATAACATAACCACAAAAGTCCACAGCAAAAATCAACTATACACATGAAGGCCAGAATCATGCAGCAGGCTTTTCTTTCTGTCATGGGTTGAAACCCTCCCCTGCGAAAAAAAAAAAAAAAAAAAAATCACTAAATTTCAGGATGTTAAATTCTGCTTTTCACCAGATTACTGAAAAATCTGCTAGAGATGCTGAGTCACACAGGAAACCAAACTTTGTTTTCAATTGGGGACAAGAAACAGAAATGAGAACTAGAAATACTAAAGAAGAGACAGCCCACCCACCCAAAAAACACAAGACAAATTGCCATCATGCTACAAGCATAGACTGATCCAGGTTTCTGCAAATCTCCAGGAAAAAAAAAAAAATAAAGGCGTGCTGATGGATGGTGCCACTTTGCACCTTAAAAACCTATAGATTCATGCAAGTACAATTCCCACCACGCAGCCCATCAGCTAACCCTGATCTCCTGTCCCAACCTCCATGCTAGATGCCCCATCACACCAGACCTCATCTGGCACGCCTGTTATTTCAGGGAGTTGTTGCAACAAAGCTTTTTCTCACAGTGCACAAAACTGCGGCGAAACGATCCTCTGACTGCCCTGCAGCACTTCAGCAACGCTCGGATGCTTCTCTGGTTGCCACGAGCCTGCTGCGCTTGATCTTCCCCCCCCCCCCCCCCATACCCCATGAGGACATTGCAAACCAGCAACAAAACACAGAGAAGCACTGAAAAGAAATCTCACCATCACATTTGCAGCACGGATGATTTCATCCCAATTACTTGTTCTTGTCATGCAAAAAGAGCTACAGGAGAAAATTTAAATCCTGATCCAGACAATATAACAGCCAAAAACGAAGACACTGCCCCAAGCATTTATTTCAGATTTTTACATGCTGGGATCAGCCCTTCAGAGTCTGAGGAGTCTCACAGAAGGGCTTTTGAAGGAAAGACAGACATTAAAGCCCAATTATACATCTGAATTTAAGTCTTCACCCTCTGATTCAGGGGAGCCCAAGGAACATACATGCAAGAACAGCTCATTTAAAAAGAGGACCTGAAAAAAAAAAAAAGTGCAAGTTATGCAGAGAAGCCAGGCAAAGAATGCAAATTTTGACCTACTTCTCCCTCCTGGCTGGGAGAGGGCACAAGGCAGCTGCTATTGCTGCTCCACAAGCACAAGAGATGAACAGAAGCCCTGCCAAAATTTCTGCAGTGATGCCTCTTCTAGACACAGGCTGCTTGCAAGGCAGGGGCAATTGTCCTTCTGCCCAGACAACAAGACCACAACCACCAAGGCCAGCAGCTGATGAAGTCAGGATGGGCAGAGGTCTTCTGAAGAGCTTGGGTTCATCTCTCAGGCCAGAAGTGTTTCCCACTGGACTCCTCTGCCAGCGCCTGCCTTGGTTCTGCTACAGGCAGGACAGGGAAGAGCAGTGTCTTCCAGGTAGGAGGGACGTCTGGTGCCTTCATAAACCTCTCAAAACCAGCCTCCAAGATTGTAAGGAGGACAGGGACAAAGCCACTGAGGTGATAGACACATTGGCTTGACTACAATGCCAACTGGACACCCATGGGCAGAAGTGCCTTCTCCGACCAAGATCCACATGAAAGCCATCCACTTGCCCGGTGCAATAGGCCAATGACGCCAGGAAAATACCAGGAGAGAAAACAGGGAGCCAGAACAGGAAGAGTTTCACTCAGCAACTCCTCCAGTGGAGAAAGTTTCTCACTCATGCAATCTGAGGCTCTCAAACCAGATCTTTGTGCTGACTACCTACCCAAGAGCCATCAACCTTCTTTGAGGTTGGTCTGAAGGAAAGTCACGAGCCTTCAGCCACTTCTCACCCCAGCAGGATTGAGTCCAGTCAGCCCAGTTACTGCAACCAGAGGTGAAGTGGAACCAGTGGCAGTTATGCAAGATTCACCCTACAGTACTTTCCATCTCAGGAGGTTCAAGTTTTCTCTGCACGTGCAAAAAATGAGCACGATCTTTATGAGTCATGATAAGCCTTCTTCTCAAGCTATATTCCACATAATTTTCTATATAAGAAAGCCTTTCAGATAAAAAAAAAAATCATCATATCTCACACAGACATGAGTTGATTGGGTTAACCATCAGCTTAGGTTAGATGAGTCCAAGATGTGTTACTGCAAAACATTTTCATTAAAACACCAAGCTGTGTCAGCACAAATATGGAATAAATGCAACCAAGAAGCAAGAGCTTACCATCTTACATCAGAGATACAGCTCATTTTACACAATCACATCTTGCTTCACCCAGGGCCCACGATGCAGCTGTTTTTTGCCAATGAGCTCATACCTGGTGCTGCTAGAGCAATGTTTGGGGGCGGTTATTGGACATTCCTGGCTTATTGCAGCCAGCTGATAAGAAATTGGGACAAGCAAAAAAAGCAATGGGAGTAGCAGTTTTCAAACAGCTCCAAGTCTCAGCACATTTCCAAGACTAGCATAAAGGGACACAGTGCCCACAGGGGTTAGAAATTACCTGCCAAATTTCAAGCAATGGGAACACGAGTGGCACTAACAGTCCCAGATCCCAGCAGGAGAAACAAGTGTTTAAAGCCATCTCCAGTGATTCAGTTTCAGAAACGCACTGGTTTTTCATCAGTTCTTGACATGCATATACTATCATGTATTATACACATTAATTTCGTAACAGTACAGTCTAAGGTATATTATTCAGCATCTCCCAAACCACCTGGCTGGCATAAATGCAGTTAGAGAACCATAAAATCCTTGCTGTACTGGCCAATCACAACTTCTGTCCAAAGCCTACTGCAAAATGATTATAGAGAAGGCTTTGTTCAGCCAGACTCCTTCCTTTCCCTGGGGAAATCTATATGTCAAAAGACCAATAAATGCTGGTAATTTATTATGTGGAAAGACAGTCATGCAGCTAAGAGTAAGAGTACTGAGACCTAAGCCAGGTTTATGTTTGAAATTCTCAGAGCCCCATGGTGGCAAGACAAATTTGTTGTTCCTCTGTTTATATGCACATAAATACTTGGGGGTGAAAGGATGTAAAGTAGAGATGGATTATCAGCATCACAGGAATGTTGAGCAGAAAGATGTAGTTCAGATTTAAAGACTGTTCAGGGATTGTGTTGCAAGAAAACAGAAGAGAAAAAAAAAAAAACACAAAACAGTTTACAAGGAATCAGATAGCTCCAATTTGAAGAGTCTCTTTATCAGCATTGATTAAGCAAAGATTGGTTTCATCCTAAAGAACAGCAGGTTAATCACCAAGTCCTTAGAGTTCTCATCCCTCATTAATAGATGCCACTACCCTGGGTTCTGGAGGCATCTCTGGTATAATTATGATGTTTAAATAAACAAGAACCACATACATGGTATTTGGGGTTCTTCCAGCCTCCCAAGCATCCAAGTAACTCTCAGCAGACATAAGATGTGGTCTCCTGCTCATCACCACCTGTGAAGACACCTAAAGCACAACCTGCTAGATGACCCCTCATTTTTTTCTGGCCTCCTCCCCAGAAATTGGAACATTCAAACAGCACTTGGATAATTCACTTGCTCATGCCTTTTCTGTAAGGCTGCAGCCAGGGAAACTTGGCTGCACTGTGGTTAAGAACATGAAGCAGAACAACTTTCTCCCAGATTCAAGGAATCAAGTGCTACAGGGACACTGTCTTTCAGAAATGTTCAGCAAGATGCTCCCAAGGAGATGTCCCCCCACCAGATGTTGGGCAATAAAGACATTTAACTCTACATCGGTATTGCTTGGTTTGGAGGAATTTAAGATATCCGACTTGTGTATAAAGAAGAATGGGAGGGGGAGAAGAGTTACATAAGCAGTGAAGTGTTTTGGACATGGAGAGACCATGGGAGGGATCGGAGAGCACTGTAGCTTGACAAATGATGCAGATGGCTTGAGTCTTGGTTTGGCCAGTCACAAAGCAGATATTTAAAATAAGTACATACTGCTGTCTCCACTTCCAAAGAGATGGTGGGAGATCCACTGAGAGGAGAGACATTCATGATTTCTTATCAACTGGAACTTGTCAGGGAACCCAGTTCCTGTATCTGACACTTCATTGTGTTTGTGGAACACATGCTCAACAGCATGAAAACTAGTCAGGATTTTTCTTCCTGCACCACTTTCTACCTTTATCAGCCCTCAGAACAGCTTCACACCAGCTTCTGGGCCCAGTTGTGCACCCTCTCCCAGTCTCCATCGGGTCACTCATAGGCTCTGTGCTCTTTCTGAGGAGGAATGACCTTTCCCCATGGGTTAGCAGAGGGCCCAGCAGAGAAGGACAATCAGTTTAGTTCTATTTGCTGCAGTGGTAGAAATGTACCTCAGTAACTTAAAGGTTTGTTTTCTTGTAACGGTAATAGCTACTCCAGGAACACAACAGCATGTCTGCTCAAAACGACCAAGGAGGAAGAAAAACCCAAGTTCATACTGACCCTGCTCTCCCATTCTTTATCCTTTGAGGAACATGGTAACTGTTCCTCTAGGAAAGGTACAGCAATATTTGTGCAGAAAATCCAATATACAAGCTATACTGCCTGCTGAATAAAGCACTGCCAGTAACTTGTGTCACTCCACTCTGTGTGTCCTTAAGCTTTTCTCCATAACTGAAGGCAGAAATCCTCAGGCTGCTGTCTAAACTAAAAGACGTGAGATTTAGACTAGATAGAAGGAAGAAGTTTTTTATGATTAAGATGATGAGACACTGGGACAGGTTGTCCAGAGAGCTGGTAGATGCTCCATCTCTGGAAACATTCAAGGCCAGGTTGGACGGGGCTCTGAGCAACTTGATTTAAGTTGAAGATCATAGAATCACAGAACAGTTCGGGTTGGAAGGGGCCTTAAAGATCACATCAGACTAGGGATTTCAGAAAATCCCAACAGCCACCCCTCAGATTCAATAAGGGAAGGGTAGGTGCAAGTCAGAGCTACAAGCCCATCACAATCTGCCCCAAAGGGCTGGACACTTGTCCCTTCTTCCATATCACCCCTGGCCTCTCTTCCAACAAACCCATGATGGTAATATAACTAGTTAGTTGGGAAATAAGGCTTCTCAGCCATCCTTCCTCTTCTCCCAATTCTCCACAACTGAGCTGGGATCCTCTCCTGGCCTTTTCTAGAGAACTTTTATTAATGCATTGAATATATACAGGCTCATATATGAATGCACACAGCCTACCTTTGAGGCATCATCCCAAAAAACACACACCACAAGCTAACAACAACCTGGTCCAGAGATGTTCTGTATCATCTTCAGTGGCGAGAGTCACAACCCCCTTTCCCTGGAGCTCACCTTTGAGACACAACTCATGAGTGTCTTTGACACCTGAACAAGAACTTGCTTCTTCCTCACCACTTAGGGAGGCAAAGGCACATCAACCCTTCCATAACATTTTTAGGGAGATAAAGATGTAAAATAGCTCCCTAACATATTTGGGTAAGTGTTAATTAACTGTGTCTCTTACAGACCTGACTGTTTTAGGAGTTTTAACTGCCTCAGGTTTTAAGAAGGTCACTTCTGTATCTGCCAGGAAAGCTGTATTTTGTTCCTCACCATCTATGGCCTTTTTAGATTCAGAATTAAAGTCTTTACACACAGCTTAGAGCAAGATGAAAGACAGCAAGTGGATTTCTCTTCACCTCCAAGGCATGCTAATACTGATCAATCAAACAGAGAAAGCAAGTCAAACAAAGAGCTTAAACCTTCATAGCAGCAAAGTTATTTTTGCAGCAGAAAAGACAGAACAGCTGCTAAGAGAGTAGTCAGTTGCATTTAATAGTGACTGGGATTCACGTGGTATTGAAGGAGCCCAGGGACATCTCAGGTCCATGTTCTGCAGTGGACACAATGAAAGAGGACATCTCGAATCATCATCCCCATTTCCTTTTCTCCATCCTCCTGTGAGAGACAGTAATTGCATCCTCTAAGATTTGGATTAAGCCAGGGAAGGCCAACAATCTTTTTTTTTGCAGCCTTAATTAGAATGGCATTCACCAAACGAGATAG